CATCCTAAGGTCTCAGGGCAGCCCTGCCCACCATCCTAAGGTCTCAGCCCTGGCCCCCATCCTAGACCAATAGCTGGTGGTTCCTGGATCGAGAAGCGGGACAGGACAGAATACAGAGACTACTTGACCTCACTCCTCCTGGGAAAAGACTATGTGCACACACCGTAGTAGCCATGAAGGTTCAGGCAACAGGATCTTCCCCTCTGCCAACCGGTCTCGTCCCAGCTGCTCACATACCAGCACCCTCTAGGCTCTGAGCTCTCCCGTGGAAGGACTCGACTACTGCCACTCTGCCTTCCAGCCCCTGGCACACAGGGTGAGCACACCACAAAAAGATCAGCTGACTAAGGACTTGAGGTCCAAGATCACACAGTCTTTGAGCGAGAATGTGCAGAGGAAGTTTGGTGTCTGTCTGTGTAACAAACATCCCTGTAAAGACTTCAGACCCAGACAGCTTAGGAGACCCTTATCTAGGCTGGAATGTCTTGCACTTTTTCTACTTGCAGGCTGCTTTTGACTGGAGACATTTTTACATGACCCAGGATATAGAGATACGTACAGTAGAGATACATATCAAACCTTTAGCAATAAATCATAAAGAAATTGATTTTTAGATAATTACTTAGTATACATATAATTTTACCATGTGTTAAAGATTAGGGAAGATTTGATACTGGTGAGATGAATGAGCTTATTTATATATACAAGTGAGTATATGCACATATTTATGAAGAGTTAAACAGAACACATCTTCAACATTTTTCAGAATTCACTGGTATTTCAATTTTTATAATCATCAATGCTGGGACTGCCACCTCACGTAAGAACACAAAATGGCAGATATATATATAACCATTCCAGAGATTGTTGGCATTTTGCCCTCATCACAATTCAAAAGTTGACAAAAGAGACTTTATGAAGCTCAAGTCAGCAATTCAAACATGAATTTTTAAAATCAAACATTTTATCACAACACAACCCAGAGATAAACTCATTTCACATGTGCATGCTGAGAAGCAACGGTGGGGAAGTCTTTGTCTTCCATAATCCAACAGTTAAGTCTCCACGAAAGCAAACCCTGTGAGTAGAGGGACACCCAAACTGAGACGCACAGGGTCTCAAAGCTGAACCAAGGTGTCTTGGTGCCATGTGACGTGATGACATGCATGGTGTATGTCTTGGTGCTGTGTGACGTGATCACATGCACATGGTGTATGCATTGGTGTTGTGTGACGCGATGGCATGCGTGGTGTAACTCGCTCGTGGTGAATGGTGGGAAGTTAGACTGTGGTGAAGTCCGCACAGCACAGGGGAGCGCTGCCGGAAACAGCACAGGGGAGCACTGCCGGAAACAGAAGTTAGAC